TTTTTTTTACAAGAACAAACAAACTACCTCGTCTGAGTGGAGATTGTATATTACAATGGTGGAATTGTTCATGCCAATAGCAACTATACTGTCATCTCAGGGGTGAAAAGTAAGACATGTTGCCGCAGGTGGCGGTGGCATGACTTTCTTCATCGTCTGTGTTTTTACGTAACAGATTTTTATGAGTACGAGAAATTTGCAAACAGAACCTAAGCATATTGGCAAACAAGATTTGGGAAGTTTTGGCTGGGAAAAGAAAATTTCAAGAACACTATTTGTGTTGGGTTTACCTTAAATGTCGTCATGTCAAAAATGGAGATCATCCCTCCTGTTGCTGATATGAGATATGAATCATTCTTGGACAAATCAAAGCAGGACATCAAGTCTTCGGGGTTGGTGCTGGGAAGGTCATTGTTCATCAGCTCTAAGCCACTCCTTGGTTTCTGTAAATTAGGGTGAACCTTGGGAGTTGCCGCATTCAATCAATATCATCATAATCAAATGACAAACTATTGCTCCGATTTCAATTTCGAAAGGAAAGAGAGGAGATATCTAATAGGAAAGAATTATAAAGCATGTCATTCTTTACCACTCAACTAGAATTAAGGTCCTGTGGCCATTTCCAGTGAAAATGAATGCCATTTGATGCTAACAGCAAAATGGCATGAGCTCCAGAGAAAATAAATAGTATAGCCGCTCGGCTATACTATGTACTTATAAAATTTAAAAATGGCGGGTCTGGCATCTCTGCAAATACATTTTTGTCAATTCTCAGTAACGTAATCTGGGTGAAATGCAGCTTTTGGATCCATATGATGGGCAAAAAGAGTAAATCAAAAACTCCCAGAGAGATGCAAGATAATACAGCTGCTGTAGAAGAGGAAAAACCCTCATCTTCAGCTAAGAAATTGCTAAATCATTGGTTGAGATTCAGTTCAGGTTTACCATGCATATATTTTGGTTTTGATTTATGTTTCAATTACTAGGCATATGAAGCCTCTATCTGATCCTACTTTCTGCAACAGGAACAGTTGGAGAGCAATGAGGGTGATCCTGTGCTACTTGTTTACATTCCGTGAGTATCCACTTTTGTTGTTTTATGTGTTATCTTCAGGACATGAGTTAAAGAATGCATGAACATGAAATGGATGGGAGCAGGGAGATCCATTGGTTGAGTACTTGTACCCATTTTTCCATATTTTCATTCAATTTCAATGCTAACATGTCCTGTTAGATCTCCATAGTCCGATCTGTATCAGTTTGAGTATGGGATTCAACCTTAGTAGCATCTCCAGGTTCACCTAAAACAAACATAACACTTAATTTGTGTGTCTTTTATAATTATATTTTGTTCTTGTGCTCATCTGCTAGCCTCAATCTTATGTTAAACATAGCTGTACTTATTTCTGAAACATTTGTGTTGCATCTTGAGAAATTTTATTAAAACCTACCTTTTTAAGACCAAGTAATCTCTGATATCGTTACTTTACGTTCTGATTAAGTTATATCTTGTTCATTTATTTTTGATAGATTTACATCAGATGTCAAGATCAATAGCATTTCAATTATTGGAGGTGCTGACGGAACAAGTCCTTCCAAGATGAGGGCGTAAGTTCGAACTTTAATATTTTCTTTTAGCTCCTTCATTTTAGGACCTACCTGATTGGAACAATGAGATTGTCTGTGTTCATGAGTTTATTTCAGTGGCATAGTTCTTGAAGGAGGTATGCATTCGTCTGTTAAAGACAGCATTTTTGCAAGGAGTATTGCCATGCGGCTATACTGCTGTAATACTTGAATATATGCAAGGCGTATAGCCGTGCGGCTATACTGTTCCCCGGCTATACTGGTTGAATAATTGAATATATACAATTTTTTTAAAAATAAAAAATTTTAAACATTGAAAAATAGGCTAGTGATATTAAGCAATTAGTGGTAATAAACACGGTGGGATTTTTCAATCTCTTGGGCACTTCAAATTTAAATCAAGTTAGTTGATTGCCTAGTTAATTTACTCATCACTAAGAAAATTTTATCCCAAAGAAAATTCAAAGAATTAATTACTATTTATGAAGTAATATTATTTATTAGTTAATTAAAAAATTAATATTAATTACTCACTAAAGAAATAATAATTATTAATGAAAGTAATTAAATAAGGCTAAGATATAAAAAAGAAAATAATAAAAAAACTACTTATTGACTTAAAGAAAGTAATTTTATATTTTTTTAAAAATGATACACTTTTGAATGTTTAAAGCGTTATACTGCTTAAATATATGCAAAGAGTCTAGCCGGGCGGCTATACGGTTTAAATGCATGAATATGTTCAGGAACTATAGCCGTGCGGCTATACTGCTGCAATACATAATATAGCCGTGCGCCGGCTATACTGTTCCAATACTTGAATATATGAAAGGGTTACATCCGTGCGGCTATACTGTTTCAAAAGTTGAATATATGGAAGGGGTAGAGCCCTGCGGCCATACTGTTCCAATTCTTAAATGCATGCAAGGAGTATAGCCGTAAGGCGATACGGTTTCAATACTCAAGGATTATAGCCGTGCGGCTATACTGTTTCAAAACTCAACGCCGTCCGAACAACAACAAAAAACAAAATTTTCTGAAATATCAAATGAAATGAGTTCATCAAATAATTTCTGAGACTGCCCACCTCAACCCAATTGCCCAATTGAGACACTTCGTAGATATTTGTGAACAAGAGATTTGAACCTGTTTGCGTCTGAAATGGCGATCGAAGATCTTGATTCTTGAGCTTTGAACCCCATCACTGTTGTCAGTACAGAGAGTATTTGAGAATAAGATTGAGTGTGGAGCTTCTCTTCTTGTCCTCAATAACCAGCTACTCCGGCAGAGAGAAGACAAGCCTCTCATTTTTGCACTCCAGCTATTGTGTCTTGGTACAACGTTTTGCACTCTTGCCTCTTTGAAATGCTAGTTTTTTTTTTTTTTTTTTTTTTTTTTTTTTTTTTTTTTTTTTTTTTTTTTTTTTTTTTTTTTTTTTTTTTTTTTTTTTTTTTTTTTTTTTTTTTTTTTTTTTTTTTTTTTTTTTTTTTTTTTTTTTTTTTTTTTTTTTTTTTTTTTTTTTTTTTTTTTTTTTTTTTTTTTTTTTTTTTTTTTTTTTTTTTTTTTTTTTTTTTTTTTTTTGCGAAAAAGAGAATTACAAACCAAAACCTCGGAGGGGGTGCGGCCCAAAGAGGTCGAAAAAACAAGCAAGAGCAACAGAGAGTCCATGATTTTTTTCAATTTTTTGATTTGTTGTTTTATTCATTTATAAAGTTGTGGATGAATTTCCTAATTTACTTTTGAGTTCAATAGAAAAATTAACAAAGTTAACGGAAATGACCAACAGTAAAATACATAACTTAATTTGGGGATGACAACAACCTATTGTTAAAACTCAAAATTGAAAATATAAATTTGTGTATAATTTAGAAATCATTGCTGCTATTTAACCAAATAAAGTTTAACGTAGTCTAAATTACAAGAGATGAGTTTCTCACACACTCATTTTTACTTAAAAAAACTTATATGTAACTGGGGTAACTGGGATGAATTACAATATAATTTAGAAATCATTGCTACTTAAAAAAACTTATATGTAACTGGGGTAATATTATTTTATTATTTTCGACCAATAACACAATAACACGTGAAAAAATTATTCTACGTATTATTACGTTATTGACTGAAACATCAGAAAATACCATTTTCCACTTGGATTGGATTTGTTCTTTTATTTCTCCACCTTCAAACTCTACGATTGCTACTTTTATAAAACAGAAGAGAAAAAAATCCTGACATCAAGCTGGAGACAATATTTTAAAGATTGCGAAACAAAGAAAAACATTGCTAACCATCCAAGAATTAAGAACCAAGGTCCAAGAATGTCAGTAATATCTCTGACGTGCTCTCAGACAACACTGTGCTATTCTTCAAAGCCACCGCACAGCTTTTTGACAGATTTTGAGAACTCTGTGTTCCCAAGAACTTCAATTCCAGCTTTTGCTCTGAAATTATCAGCATATTCTCAAAGATTATTGAGGAATGGGAACTTGGTTTCTCGCAGAAACAGATTTCATGCGAATTCTGCTGACTCAGATGCAGATACAAACGAGTTGGAAACCCAGTTGTCTCGGGAAAATGGTGCAGTTTCCAGTAATGGTGGCAACCCATCAACCAGCTTTTTATCCGTGCTCTGTCCCTTGCTCAAGCTCTTCTCCGTCAGTCTCTCCTATCCTTTTCTTTCTCTTTTCTTTTTCCGGTTTTTATTTATATTTTTTAGCAAAATCTAGCAACTTTTTTTGGGGTCAAAACTCTACTAAAATCGCTATGTACCTTTTCTTTTTCTTTTTTTGAAGTGTGCATTGGCATGGAAAAAAATTGTGAAAATCACATTATATAATATGCGGACCGTAAAAAGGAACAGTCTTATCAGCTTATGACTCATCTCTTTACAAGAAAATCTTCTGGTGGGGAAGTAGTCTTTAACTGTGTTCTTGATTTTCAATGTCTATAGAAAATTGTTTTTCTGGACCACTGCTAGCATCAGGGAAAGATGCCAACTAATATGCAGTTGAAATATGACAGAACTCTATCCAATATTTGATTTTTTCAAGAAGCCTCCTAAGTAATCACAGACTAATTACAATCTTAGTGGAAAAAATGGGGAAAAATTGTTCATATATGTTGTTCTGCAAACTTTGTTTTTGCAATGGTAGCTACATTAAACATATTAATCACCGTTTACAATCCCCCTACCTTAAGATGATTGGTATTTGGCACTGCATTAGTGCTCACATCTGAGTGCATGGCTTTGTTTCTTTTCACACTAAGATCTTTTCACAATTTTCTGTCATTTACTATGCCACTCTTTTTTGTGCCATAGAGCTTTTGCATGCAAATACGTGTCAAATTTATCAATATCCATTACCTGAATGTGCATGCTATATTGCATAGGAAGAAGAACCACTTCTTCTTGAACATAATGCTAGGTGTTTGATTTTAAACCTCAATCCCTCTTCTGTGGAGGGTGTTTTCTATAGGGTACATGTGTTTCCTACGCACAAACCTACCTTTAGGCCATGTGGACAAGTATATTAACTGATGGTCCTTAAAGACATGCATTCATGGCTCATATTCCTGACTGCTGAGCATAGTACCATGTATTGAGGTTCATGTATCATTGTTGCTTCTTCATAGTGCAAACTACTGAATTTTATACTCTTGTTTGTGATTCAAAATTGAAATGCAGTGTTGACCATTTGGCATTTGTTTCCATCATTTCACCATTGTTTTGTCTTGTTTCCTGCAGGGAGGAGATCCCTCTCAAGAACGGAACTTTACTTTGGAGGTAATCACTTTCAAAATTTTCCTGGTTTTTTTTTTTTTAATCGTTTATTGCTACTGTGGAATTGTGGTGGCTAAAGAATACTTTTTTTTTTAATTACTTGGCACAAATGTAGTTGACCTTTTGCTGTTTTATCTGGATGAGACTGTAGAGTACTATAGAACCTATTAGGATTTCCAACATCCTTACAAATAGGATTGGGCTGTAACTTCATCATGTCTTGTCATTGTGTGTGTGTTTGTTTCTGCCTTATAGGTGTTATCAATTCATGCATGCATTTGGGTCTAGAGTTAGTTTTGCACCAGGAAGATGCCTATCTCTGAATAACTCAACTCTTAGCTGACCCTAATAGACTTCCACCTTTTTGGCTCTCAAAATAGGTAGCTACATCTTCATTGTCTACCTTCGCCAGATTCCCTTGGGGATCAAGATCTCTATCACAGAATTTGGACAGACAGGACATCACTACCTTGGATCCTCCTATGCATTTGCAGCTTTTTGAATTTGGTAAGCATCTTTTTTATTATAAGAGTGCAAATACAGCAATAGTAACTTTTTTTCTTTTAGAGTTTTAGTATTTTGGAAAACGATTTTCACCATTGAGGATACCAATATGTCAACCATGGGTATAAATTTGTATAGATCAATAACAGGGTATAAATTTGTATAGACCAATAAAAGGGTAAAAAGTTGTGTATCAGCATATGATTAGCACTAAGAAGCAAATTGATTTGTTGGCCATGCGAATATGCCTAAATTAGTTCTTACTGTTTGGTACAGCCTATTGTCAATGTTGATTTAACCTTAATAGGGATTAGAAACTTTCCCTTGTTGAATTTGCAAACTGATTTTGTCAACAGAGGCATGCCCTTTTTGCAGGAGGGTTAGAGAAGCTTTGACTGAGCTAGATCTTTCTGCAGAGGTGAGTAACACGTATCACTGCAACCAGTTATGTTTTCATTCCATCTTTCCATATCAGTAACTGTCCTATTTAGGAATAAGTATTAAATTTTCCTGCACTACTTCCTATCATATATTTCTTGGGAAATGCTACCACTATTACTGTAGTAAAATTCTCAAATAGTATATCAAGATGATATCGACAGTATTGACAGCATATCGACAGTATCGACAGTATTAATATTCATATAATGCTCTTGGGACAATATCGAAAGTATTGACGACATATCAAGATGATATCGATATAATGGACTATTGCTACATTAATAGTGCTAGTTGAGAATTTTGCTACAGTAATAGTGGTGTTTGAGAGCATTTTTCTTTCACACCGTGACCATTCAGTCTTGGTTTCCTTTACTTTTCATTACCATCAGAAGAAGAATCTTGCAAAACAATGAAATTCTCATGAAAATTTTGGTAGATGGGTTTGAGCCTATCCTTACAGCTATGAGGTGTGAATTTTATCTAATGTAAGATTTCTGCCTTCACAAAAATGAAGGCAAACTTTAAGGATGGGATTCTAAATTAGCTTAGAAAATGGTTGGAACACACTCTATGATAAGGTGCACAGAAGAAAGGAAAAACCTCCCTTCTTTGAAGATGCCACAGGCTCATATTTTGTTGACGAACTGTACGAAACTCTGAAAAGATTGAACCATGGCTATTGGTTTACAAAGTACCTGCTTTCAACAAACTTCAATGCCCACTAAAACTTTCAATTCAAGCTTTACTAAGTTAAACCATAAGATAAGGTTGACAACCAGTTCAGTCCTGCCTCTTGATATGATCCTTCTGTTTTGTCAATAAACTTAGAGAGCTAAATTAGGTTGACATCCATTAATTGTAAATTGTTTGTAACTCATAGAACTATTACAGAATATAATGCATGAAACTGACTGCATTTTCTTGGGAAACTCTTTATGTGGTGTGTATATAATATAACTAGTTTTATAAATTTTGATTCCTGTTAGAGATGCCATTTCTGATCATGTCAAGCATGTTTAAATAAATCAATTAAACTAGTTTTAAAATTTTGAGCTCTCTAGACATTTCCAATCACTTTGAGCATCTTATTATAAATAAATTAAGAAGGATTTTGGCCTGAAAATTTGATTAAATTAATCAAGTCAATGGGTTAGATCTCAGATAACATATCGATTCAAAATTAAGTATGGTTCCTTGAAATTTTATACTCAGGTTTTGATTTTGTTCCTCATTTTTCTCTGAGTTTGGTCACCTTGGGGCCACAGGGTAGTTGAGGTGAAGAAAGAATAATGTAAAATGATATGATGGATGGATGGAGCCTCCTACTTCTTTCTGGAATACAACCTTTATAGCTTGATAGAGCTTTACATATTTCAGAGTGGTTATTCTTGTTGACACTTAATTGATTAGTTTTTCGAATGTCAACTTATTGACACACATTTGCAGGTCTATCCTTGTCCAAAAGGTTCAGTAAGACATAGAGAAATGGTTAAAAGATTTGGTGGCAAAGAGCAGTATGTAATTCCCTTTTCTTTGTATCAACTTATAAAGAAGTTGTTTTCTTTCTGATAAGTGTTCTGATAATTGAATGAAGTATAATTGGAAATAAGTTTGTAGTGAGGTCATCATTTATGCGAAATTTGTAGCTAATAAATGATACTTGAGATTGATAAATTATCACATGTCATTTCATAGTATTGTTACATTTGATGGATAAGACTAGCTTTTGTTGTTGTGCCTCTTCATCTCCTTATTAAAATTTGGATTATGAATATTCTCATTGCAGGTTTCCTTTTCTCATAGATCCAAATACTGGTATTTCAATGTATGAAAGTGGTAAGTTATCAAACTTCATTTCA